CCCCTCTTTATTTTATTCAAATTTTGAAATCTCTCCTTGCTATAATATATAAATATTTTTATATACATAAATAATATCTTTTAAATTTAACTCTTCACGTAGATATATAGAGCTGCTATACACTACAGCCTTAAGTCTACAGATAAATTGCATCCTATGTATAATTTCAATAACGTATGTATTAAAGTCTATTACAGAGTTAAAAACTTACACAGCACATTTCAAGTACTGTATAAGGTTAAGGCTTAAGGGGTCTATGTTTTAAAATTCATTGTACTGGGATAAGTCTCCAAGTCTTTCATTTTTCCTACCTTAGTGGAACTGAGCTTATATTGAGGGTAGAAGATACTAAAAAATTCAGAACATGGTTCTGATCTGTTTCCTTACTTAATATTGCATTTATGAAGTAAACATTTAAATAATTTTCACTTTCACTACCAAAATTATTTAAATTCTGTCTGGTCAGAACAGAAAATCTGATATTTAAGAAAACTTTCAACTAACTTCTAATTCAAAATGCACAACTTTGATTACAGCTGACATGATTTGCAAAAAGAAAAGAAACATTCTGCTTTCAAGCAGAGCTTGTCAAACAAGTTTCAGCGCCAAAAGAAATATTAACAGGTGGGTCAAAGTCCCCCGAACATAATGTTGCCTTTATGATTTTCAGTAGTCTATCAGGATCCTCACTGTAGTGGTCAGAACAACAATATGGGTACAAGATTTTAAAAAAGCCTCAGGCTTTATCAAGCTTTCCTTCATTAAAAGAGATGGATAGCACTCTGCATTCTAGTACAACATGCACTATGAAAGCATGCTCTTATTAGTACAACTTGTGTTTTTGGTACAAGGAGAGAAAAATCTGTTTAGGGAAGGAATCACACAAGGAAACTGAGTGGGGTACTGCCTAATTCTGAGAGCGCACTTTCATTTGTTTTGCCTGCCAGTGTTGATTTAATTATACTGCATTATTATCAAAGCTGCATTATGTACTTTTTTTATTCCTTTTACATGTGTTTGAGGTGAAGACCTTGGCTTTGTCGGCAAACAGCGCGTTTCAAGTTATTTCTTAAGTACTAAATAATAAAGAAAAGAGAATAAAAGATTTTTTTTAAAGATAGCAGACAGTGATCACAAGTTAAAGGGTTAAATGTAAGATCTCCAAGAAACATTTTGAAGTTGATTAAGACCCCAGCTTTGCATTAAACAGTATCACTTCCACATGAGTTGTTGCTAATGCTGTTAAGGAGCAGCTTGAGAAGCCCAGTGTGCCAGTGACCTCCTTCACCCTCCAGCCACCCACTAGGGCTTCTTGATTAGCATCCTACCTGGTTCTCTGAGGAATTCCCGTCATCCCCTAGGAGCTCATTCCGCACCTCATCACTGTAGGCAATTCGTGACCTTTTCTGTAAAACAAAAAGAAAAAAAGGGTTAGGAAGTATAGCTCCGAAGCCATTGGTATCAAGGCTGATCATCTTAAACCTCGAGAGCCCCCTAATGGATACCTATTTGATAAAAAAAAAAAAACAAAAATCTGCAAGTAAAAGTTATTAAAAAGTTCTTAAACTGCTGTATTTTGAGAAATCTGCACGCCAAAACCTTAGCATTTCTAAAACAGTCACATCCTCAGCATTTCAGCAATGAAAGCAGCTTCAGTGACGCTCAAGATACATAACGTATGATCCCAGTTCTGATAATCAGGCAACCAGGAGAGGAAATATACACTAATATCAGAAGCACTGAAGAAATGCACATGTAGGAATCAAATGCATTTTTCTGAAGAACACTAGCTGGACGCAGAACTCAGCATAATACTGTGGTGATGCCACTAAATAGGAAAGGAAGACTGAGCTTTTCCCATATAAAAAAACCAACCAAACCAAACCAAAAACTTAAACAACATACATTCAACAAAACTGGTTGATCTTAAAGATGCAGAAAATTAACAAGTGTTTTCTATGCTGCTAAGGCTATGAAGGACTAGTGGGAAAGGACCACAAATCAAAGGGCAAAAGAAAGGAGAGGAAACAACAGCACAAGGAAACATTGGTTTACCGTAGTTCATGGAAACACTACAAAACTGAGACAGTCATTCATTAGATCATTATGACAGACAGTCGTTATTTACAGCTTATGAGCACCAGATCTGCTCATGAACTGATCATCATATTGATTCTAAACCAGATCAAGTGCCGAGCACTGGAAAGCAAACGTCTGAAGATTACCAAGGTAGCACAGCATTCAAAGGAACATCAGGCATGAAGAGAACATCAGCCCAGCTTTAGATTTCTCTGTTGGTCAAGCAACAGGCCCTTAGTCAGTTAATATTCCTACACTCACTATTAAAAGAGAGAAAGGATTTTTAACATATTGTCTAAATTCTTTTTATATTTGAGTGTGGTTATGATCAGAGGAAGAAACCCAAGAGTAGCAAGAACTAAGCTGTAGGGCCTTCCTTTATTGATGGGAGCTCCCCTCACACTCTGCCGTGGTAGTCACTACCAGCAGGGACTCAGCAAAAAGAAATCCCTCCTCAAACCTTCCCTAATTGGACAATCATGCCAAAAAAGGTGCTCGAGACTGGGGCACAGGAAACAACCCACTAGAAATTATACTGAGCACAGGGAAATTAATTACCTTTCTGACAAAGAAGTTTAGAAGTGGGTCACCTTTTACGCTAGGAACCTAGCAGTGGAGTAAGCCTTGTATTGGTCATCTCAGAGCCATAGAGTTTAGCTTTTTAATCTGTGAAGTTCACTCTTTATTACCATCATCATCGTTACAATGCTTACCAATTTGTGATTCAGTTCTAGTGTTCAATCTAGATTATACACTAAAGCTACAGATGCATGTAGCAAGGACAAAGCATACCACAGACCTACTACAAGAGCTGAATTGTGCCAAATCTTTTGGAGATCTCAGTTGTCACAGTTTCATACTAACCAAGCTAAAGTAGTCTACAGTATTAAAGGAAATGAAAACCTTTAAACAGGCTGTGGTATCAGAGCTGCCTGTTTAAATTATTCATTTCATCACTATGGGGGACTAAAACACTCCACAGTATGCAAGAATATCATATGGAGATAGGTTTTGTTTTTCTCTTTTTTCACCAAAAAGCCAACAAATTGGCATAGATTGCTCAATTATATTATTTTCCTATTTTTATTTGATACACATCAAACAAGGAAGGAAATTACATATATATACCAATAAATCTCTAATCTTCTTTTCTGATTAAGATTCAATCTTCTCATTTGAGGTCTAGTAGTTCAACTGTACAGTCTCTCCCAATTTCACAAAATGACTCAGCCCCATTGATTCTGTTAGTGTTGAATGTATTTATCGTTATTAGACTGAGATGAGGAACATGATGCTTCATGAGCATGTTCTCCAGTGAACAAGTTGCCTAATTGTATGTAGAGACTGAGATGGTCCTTGGTTACACATCATTTATTTGAAAGATTTAACTGGCTGATATTCTCATTCATAAGAGCAAGAAAGGAAAAAGAATATTCTTAATGGGAAAGAAATAAATGTTAATAGAAATACAATTTTTAGAGGCCCTTTATAACCCTTCATAGCATCACCACTGAATTTAATAAATATATTTGTATCATTGTTCTTCTATTGCCCTAATCTGTCATGATCTGAAAATCAGCAATTATATTAAAAGAAATAACCCTTTGACTACAATTAGGTATAACTCTTTGCCATAATCAATAAATAATTTGATACTACTTTTGATCACAGTTTCACTACCAAATCAATCAATAATATAAAAGGAAAGGCCTTTGAACTAAAGTGTTCGTTTGTTCTTTCAGGATTTACCCAAAATATCAATATCTTGAATTACTATTCTTATTTTTATTAAAGTAATATCGGCTAACACTTTTAAAAGCGTCTATCAAAATTAGTTCCGTTCGTCCGAACTCAGTGATTAAATAATTTTTAGAATTTTTTTGTTTTTAGTTCATAACTATCAGCTGTTTATAAATATGTACTTTAGCCAAATGCAAGAATGATAGTTTGAGCTGGAAATGTCACACACTCTGCTACAGTTTGAAGGAACCCAATTCATAATGCATTTTATAAATAGTTAATGACTTCTATACATAAGCTAACCAGGCAAATCAAGAAATTGTCAACATTTTTAGTCTTAGTTGTCAGTTACCACTGTCTACTGGTACTTTATATGTATGTTTCTAGAAAAGACAGAAGCTTTACAGAGTTTGTAATCCAAGGCATTTCTGGGCAGCTCAATATAGGTTTAAGAGGTTCTGTGTGCAGTTTTTTGTCTGTAAAGGTCTGTCATATATCGAAGTTTTCCTTGTATTTTATATTTTCTTGTATATACATAGACAAAAGGTCTAAACACACAAGTGTTTTTAACTGAGTGCATATGTTTGCATTCAAATGTAGCATGCACACCAACACACAATGACACAAAAGGGTTAAGGTACTTTCTACAAGAACTTCAAGACAGAGAAAGTTTCAGGGGCTGTTTTAAATGTGCTACAGTACCCAGACCTTCTGACAAGGAAGAATTTCTGATTCCAGGCAGATCTCTCCTGGTTTATGAACAGGATTTTTGCATACTGATTGGGTGATTTCCTTAAAGCCCTGTTCAAACAGATACACTTGCTCAGTTCTGTCTGGCAATTTGGCTTTAAACAATCTGTCTACTTGACCCAAGCCTTAACATTTCCCAATAGAACTGAATGTGTTCATGGGCAAGCCCAGCTAAATTAGAATTGAAATGAATTAACTCAGCTTAAACTAATTAAGATCTGTGATCTGCAGTACCACCCCCCTGTATGATTCTACATGTGAAGTAGGGTACATGTAACCAGACTGTAAGAATTCTGCTATACTACTAATCTGAGCATACCAATGAAGTTCATCTATTACTAAAGCATATGAGAAGTTAATTTCCATGGCCTACACATGGCAAAGCAATTGCTTAAATTGCCTCACCTGGGAATTTAATACAATGTTATCATCAGACCAGCCACACTGTAAATAGATTTATAATGCTTTCCATGTGCTAGGCTAGGTTGCATATGAATTAAGTAATGATCTGGTATTACAATACAATCAGCTAGTTCCCACACCTGGCAGACAGGATATTTTGCTAAATTACTACCTATACAGATGCATCACAACACAAAAACAGAAAAGGCAATGGGAAGAGAAACAATCTACATGGTGTGTGACCGATTTTTACATGGTAACCAAATAAGATGTAGATAGAAAGAAGTATCCAAAATAATGTTTCCAACATCTGCACAACAGAACACGTCCTTATTCGTTTCTATTCAATTTTGGCTTAATTTTCCGCATTCTATACTTTAATTACCGTCCACATTCTGAAATGTTCCCATTAGTGAAGGCCAGAACTAGCTAATGCCCCCTCACTCCAACGCACTTTCAGGAATCAGCCAAATAATTGATATAAAGTATCGCACATTTTCATACCTGAACTAAAGAATAGTTTTCCCCCTCCTAAATGCTAAGCAGCCCCCTCAACAGACAAGCAAATCTAGGTGCATTTCAGACAAAAGGTCCAGCAAATCCTTTCATCCCAGTATCTCCATTTTTCAGGCTCAATGTTTTAAGAACAGATTAAACAGATTTTTTTGGTGAAATACGCATAAACAAACCAAAAGGCTTATTTATCCACAAACATCAGTTTTCATACAAAATTCATTAGATTTCCTGGTATATATAAATGGTTTAAAAAAAATCTTCAGACATCTCTTTCAGAGTTTGGCCCTACTCTAGATGTAAATAAACACTCGAGATTAGCATAACCTGAAATAACTTGTAGGAATAAATCAGATTTTATTTCGTGTTCTTTGAGAGTAGTCAGTTTTGCCATTGCTCTTGCCAAAAGCAAGGTGAAAAAAGTGACCTGATCCTCAAACGGACTGCTAAATACTGCAGAATGTACACTTCCATCTCTGCCTTTTGTAGAGTATTTTTTGCTGAGCAGAATTGAAAAAGATATAAGTTAACAAATTTAGAAGAAAAGTAAGTGACTCTACTTAACAATCTTAAAGCTTATATTTAAACAGAAACACAAAAACACTTCTTTGGGAAACAAAATAATTGAAATTGCTTAAGAAATTGTGTTCAAACTTCAGTTTTCAAAACTTCAACATTTCTCTGTAAAGGTGATCCAAGAACAATAGATTGGACACTTTAGACTGCAATTCGAAAGGGGTTTTCCTGTTAAGTAGCTTAGTTTTTATTGATTGCGTGCAAAAAGCAGGAAAATCATTACATAGTGCTAATATACAACCTGATGCAATGCTGGACTTTCAAGCATTTCCTTATGAAAACAAAAAAACAAAGCTGATACCTATCTGTCCAAAAGGAAATAAAAACTATTCTACAAATCCTATGA